CACTCGGCAACCGGAAGCTGATCAGTCCGTTTTTTAGTTCGATTCTCAGTTGGGTCGACGGATTCGCACTGTTGATGCGACTCAACGAGGTCGAAACAGCTGTTCAGGGCTTCCAAGCATTTCAGCTCACGCCTCATTTACACGATGAATTCATCATATAAGTATACATTTGATATCTATTCAGGCTAAACCATATGCGTATTTGCTCATATCAGTGAGCAAGGATTTTGGAAGTTTCCCACAATAACTTCGGGATTTGAGTGATAAGAATTAGAAGTCAGTGAGAACAAAAGCGTAAAGTATCAATCGATTGATTGACCCATTCGCACAAGATGACGATCGTCGACTGTGTAGCTCATGGGTAAGGATTTGAAGTCCCAACCCGAATTCTCGAAGGTTCGAGTCCAGACAGGGAAACAAAAAGTGGTACGCACTGCTGACGAGTTCCAAACAGAACGAAACAACTGTCCGATGCTCTCCTTCGGTTATCACAAACATTTCCATCGCATGAGAACAAAAGTGATGCTAAAAAACGAGGTCAGTATAGCAGAATTGCAAAACTTAAGTTTCGGAAGATGTTGCTACATTTAATTGGTGCTTGTTGCAGGCAAATATGATGTTTATTCTAGGGTTCCGCAATGGATTTCAAGAGAAAAGCAGTCGGGTTTTTGAAAACATATTCCAAACTGGTTTCAACGCAACTATGCCATGTCAAGATCTACAGTACGGGTTACTGACCCAGATCTTGCATTCAAAACACCGAGATCCTCAACTTTTGATGATGACACAACAGCTTTTGTGTAAACAAAAAGACTTGTTCATCACGCTATGTGTGCCTTTTGGACCCTCAAGTTTATTTCTATCCTGTAATCGATTCCCGAACCCTATGGTAGTTTTCTGCAAATATTAATTTGGCAGATTTTTGTTTTTCTCACAATCAGATGTGTGTGAATTGCTGAATTGTGTGTGTGTGTGTGTGTGTGTGTGTGTGTGGAGGGCGTGAGGGGATCTGACCAATATGGCCATCGCTATCGCACCGTTGCGCTACCGATACCAATTGGTTGTACCATTCTTGAACGTGTATACTCGAAAATGAAAGACCAAGTTGTACTGACAACATCACCTTGTACCATATTTCCACGATTCTTCATAAATTCATCCCAAAATTTGATTTATGCTCGTGAAGAAGAATAAGAAAGCCATTCGGAACCTGAAGAAATATTCTCTTCCCTAGAAATGACGCGATCAATCGTTCGTCGACTCCACCTATTCCCAAGACCTTCTCTCTACACACCACCACCAACTGGGAATGAGTTTCAGCTAAGCGATTGGTTTTAGGCACGCTTAGCCTGCCGTCCCACCTACCCCCTCCCCAGGTAAATGAATACCGAATACTGTTGTTTTGGCAGAGCATAAAGCGTCTCCGACGTAACTTTGAATTGTGTAAAGAGTAGGAAGTTCGGTGGAATTGGAACCAACGCATGAACGCCGCCTACGCATCTGTAATATGATGTGGTACGTCTGCTACTTAAAGGACTCGCAAAAGTACACTGAGTGAAGTGATGCATCTCAGGATCTAGGGAGAGCAAGAGAGATAGCGTTCACTCTTATTCCTCGGATCAGTCTCATTGTGTGCCCGGGGACCAACACACTGTACAGCACAACTCGTTATTTCTCCAACATGATGCTTGACACGTGATCTATAGATCACAGTTACTCACTCTATTCGCCGGTTCATTTTTCGACTGGTGCCCGGATTTCGGTCTGTGCAAAGGACTTTCAACCGGTTCCGGCTCATCATCCATGCCCACCTCGGCCAAATTCAAGGACGGTGTGGAACGGCTTAACGAGCCCGGTTGTCGACCCGCAGCACCACCGCCATCTCGACCGAAACGTCGTCCTAGAGATGAATGGGGTAGTCGAGAGTCCTCGGACGGTCGTAATCCGACTCGAGTGGATGGGGGTAGCACGGGTGAACCGATTTTTTGCACAAGTGCTTTCTTTCGATCAACCGGGTCCTACGCATGCGAGCAAACGCGATGAATAAAGTCAAATGAAATCTGTCAATTTTCTTTTGGTATCATAAACAATACATAATAGAGAATAGCGCCAATGTCAGAATATATGGGTTGGTTGAAATATAAATCAATAAAATAACTTGTTGCATGGTGCTGAGAAACACAAGTATCTTTAGTATTGTCGATTTGAATGCAGAACACAATGTAAGCGAACATGTTTTTGGTGAATTCATTCTCAATCCTGTATTATCACATTACTATGAAATAGAATTTAATTACGTCAAACAGAAATGAGAATGAGTCCCAAACTATTCCGAATTGGTGTGGTGCCTGAATTATGTAATCACAATTAATTTCGCAATTACGTAATTATCACGACTATAAGTGACTTTGTCTTCATTCGGTCAAGAGTGGTTGGATCGATGTTCGCTGTGTGCACAGTACAATACAGACTTCATGGGACAGATTCTAATCTCCCCGGCCATCGCTAACGTCCGGAACATCGTTGCTTCCGAAGAGNGGGGGGGGGGGCGGTTGAGACTCGATTGTGAACCCCGAGTATTCCAATTCTACCATATAAACAACAATTGAGCTTGACACAGTTCCATTCCCACCCTGTGTGAGCCAGTGTGAATTGACGCGTTGAGATCACGGCCTTGTCGTTCGATTTACGTCCATGCACTTGAACTGATAGACAAGCACAGATATGAGGTCAACATAAGTTGCTTATCTTTGTTATGGCATCGAATGTACATTGGTGACGTAGAATTCGAAATAGCCATGTTCGGAATGGGTCCGTTGTCGAAGGGATAGTGGTTCTCTTCCTAGCCTTTATATAAACTTAGTGATTTAGAATTCACTGACGGGTGGAAGTGGCTCAAGGTCAATGGAGTTCAATTCCATGGATGATGATGCGGGACAGAGAGAGGGTGGGGGAGATGAAAGGGAGGGGTGAGATACAAACGAATACTGACGATCGGGATTACACGCTTAGAGGGTCATTCGATCAGGAAGGACTACCGTCTTACTAGGTCACATCATCACTTTGATCGTGACGTGAACACAATGCACTGACAGTCTGGGTTCGTGAATTCTCATGTCACTTTGTGCCCAAGATCTCGTCCGTCAGTGGTGTAGCTGATGGGTTTCGAATCCTAACTCGAACGTTTGCCGTTCGATTGTCGATGAATATGTAAACGCGATGCACACTGCTGGCAAGTGACAATGACGAAACGGCTGCTCAATTTCCATTGCGAGCGGCCACATTCAAACAATCCAGCAGATATGCGAGTGATTGTGAAAGCATGAGAATCTTGTCATGAAAAATTTCTATTTGCCTAGGTCTTAAATTTTGGAGTTCCGATTTAATTCTGTGTGCATACCATCTAAGCAAATTGTCTTTTAGTAACAAAGAAACATCTCGGCTCTTGATTGCATTTTCCCTCACTTCAGCTAATAAAGTACAAAGGTGAACAAGAGAGAATGTATAAAATCACAGTTGCGTTGCAATGACAATGAAAAATGAAAATCTGCTGTTTATACCAACGAGCAGTTGAGACTACCAGGTGGAAACTCACATCAGTCTGATGCAAATCGGCAAATGTGGATACGGGTGGAACGGACTGTCTGGTGGATGTATGATGCGCTGTCTTGGGCACTGTTTGTGATCCATCTGATGGTCGAATCAGATCCAAGATTCGATGATATTTGGCTGCGCCACGAGCCACGGTCAAATGAATGCCGGCATCGTCACGACTCTGTTTGGCAATTGTGGCGACCGCATCCGACTGAGCACAACCGATGAGGCTAGATGATCCAATGGCGAGAATCTGATCACCCGTGGCTAGACGACCATCACGAGCGGCTGCACCACCGGGCACAATCTCCTTCACGTATATGCCATATAGTTTCTGACCCTCAGCCTATTCATCGTGAAAGCAAATGTGATGCAAAACCAAATGGTCAGGTTTATTTGTCCACACAGATAGAATAAGTGGGTAGTAGATAAAAACTTTAAAAAATAAATGTCTTTTTACTTCCTTTTTCTAGTTATTGAATCTACAAATGTACTTTCAGGAAGCGGGTTGCGGTCATACATAGGCTGCCTGGGTACAATATGGATCTAAGGAAGACGGGCGGCGGCGGCGGCGGTGGAGGGGTTTGAACCCGGGACACCCAGGTCACCCAGGTCGCCGGATGAGCATTGTCATTGCACAGTGAACTTCGCTCATCGTAGCCAAGCTCTACAGATGTATACAAAGCACGCATTAAGCATGCAATCAACATATTCGGGGAAAGAGCTTCTTACTTTAAGGGGATGGGAAAAATGGGAACTTATTTGACTATCACACAAGGTATACACAGTCTGACTATAGACATGCAGCCCCTCCTTTTCAAACAGTCTGGCGTAACAAGCCGGATAAGAAATGGCACAAATGTCGATTCGCGACCAGTATATACAATCAATCGGTTGGAGTATTGTGGACCCCAATTTGAAACACTAGCGATACCATCACTCTTCTTGGAGTGTTTCACACGTTCACTCTGGAGAAAAAACTACAAACGGGGTCAAGCGCAGTAGGGGTAGGCGACAAAACTCACCCAGATAAAAAAGTTTCTCCCAAGACAATCCTAAACACACCAGCCGGACGAGCAATGCTGGGGTTAGGCGCAGGGGGACTGGGTTACATCGGTCCGATTAGGCTCCCTGTCTTGGGACTCCGAGATCATGGTCACCGATGATTAGAAACACTGGGTGATATGGCTAGGTATCGTAACCAGGGTCATCTATGCAATTTCTTTGCAGCCCTAGATCATTGAAATTCTCCATTTTCTGTTCGACTCTAGGTTGAAATTTCCTGTCTTTCTCCTATTCTTCATCCAAATGGGCAGCCAAAGCACAGCAATCAAAAGCGCCGCACGAATGTGCACGGTTAATGGTTGTACAAACTGAACTGAACTGAAAACACACCATGGTTTACTTTGGTGGGCATAAATGAGTGAGAGAAATAACTTTCATATATTTCATTCTGTATCACAACGTAACACGGGAAGTACGCATGCCAAAGAGAGTGTGTCAGAAGTAATAACTTAGACACTTGAAACAGGCACCGGAAAACCTTGGCCATTAGGTTAAGCGATCTGAAGAACATTTCGCAAGGAATGACAATCATTCCAAGGATTTTGGTGAGCCGCGCATGAAGGACCGGAACGCGGATTGTGTAACTGCGGAAGTAGGTCAAGTGTGACATCTTGGTCAAGAGGAGAACGAAGTTTTGACTCAGTTAAATGACTTTCGAGCTATTAGGGTAACATGATTCGCCTCAGCTAATTGGGAATACTAGAGAACGACTGTCACAATCAATGTTTTCCACACTGTTTGTCGGAAAGTATGCACTTAGAAATGAGTTAAGAGAATGAATGACCTGGAAAGTGAGAACGTTCATTAATTTTTTAATTCTAGAGCACTTCTTACGACCAAAACAGTTTACCGACAAAACACCATGCAGTGGGATATGAAAAACGTGTGTAAACATCCAGATCGTGCTTCAAACTCACTTTGGCGGCGACAATACTCAAGCCGAGACTGTTATTATGCTTGCGAAGATAAAATCGAATTATACTGTCCACGGGAACGCGAGCTTCTCGGGCCATCGAATCGAATTCCGATGTGGTAAGATCTGGCAATGAACGATGCTGTATCGGACGTTTCAAAGAACCGGTCCCGGAAGCCGGAGCAGGTTTGTATCGACCGGGACGCGGATGACCTGTACGCTTAGCTCCTTCACCGGATTTCACGTTGCCCTCCTCCTCCTCCTCCTCATCATCATCACTGCTCAAATCTGACGATTCACTACTATCCGTTGGTTGGGGATTTGTTGGTTTGGCCGTGTCTGTGGTTGGGACTGGTCGTTCGTACGTGGCAGTGTCCGATAGCCTCTTGCTGTTTTCTTCAACCTGTGGTGGTAAGCCAAAAGATACTAATCAATTTGGATCATGTTTAATGTATTCTGTTCGGGAACTTGAATATAATTTGAGCTACATAAAATAGTATATATAGCCCAATAAACCGAAAGAGAACATGAGTCATAGCTTAAATTTTAGTTCAGGAAAGAAATAACTGCAACCCTCAGTTTTCCCCGAGTCAAGCACCACAGGTTAAAAGACAAACAACTATTCCAGTCTGATAGTGTGATGGAAGGTGATACAAACAGGACCCCGGCTAGCGAACGAATCGAGAATGGGGCCCATCCAACCAGACANCGGCTGGAAGTACTTTGAGAGGCAATGTTAACTACCACCCAAAACGAACGAATCGACAATTACAGCCCCACAAATAACCCGCAGCTAGCCAGAAAGATCAATACGATGACCAAATGTCTTTACTATAAACCGGATTGGGCATAGGGGCAGGGTGGGTGAATGGCATTCCATTACGGCCCATATGGTCGGATCTTAATGTTTCTCACAAACGCATGGTCTTGTTTGATCTTTGTTCCTTATTCACTAATGTTCCTCTTTGTGAAACTGTGGATATTTTTTATTCATATTGTGATGAAAGATGGTATAGAGTCCCGGCTAGCAAACGAATCAAGAATAGAGCCGATCCAACCAGGTGCGCAGACGTAGCGGCTGGACATACTTTGCGAGATAATGTCGACTACCACCAGAAACGAACAAATCGACAATTACAACCCGAAGGACAACTCGCGTCTAGCCAGAAAGATATCTACCGAATATCACAACGTCGGAGCTGTCGATCAACGTATCTCGCGCTACGATCAGATCAAACCAGTCGGAACGGCATGCGGAAGAAGTGGCAACGCGGTGCTAAGTGTGGACCGAAACCAGCCGGGATGGACCAACAGAAAGAGGTATGAATCATCCTGCCGCGCGGTTAAGAATTGAATGTATATAATTGAACGCGTATACCGGTTGTTTTCGAAATGGATCAAAAAACGTTTTCCCAGCCAGCTCGCCTTCTTGCTACAATAGGACTTTTAGCCTGTGACTAGAGAATAAAACCTGCAGGAAAACCTGTACATCTCGAGGTCTCAAGCTTAAATCGATTGATTCAATAGAATTTCTAATTGGCCAAATTCTGATGGAATCAAAGAAGCTCACCACAACTCCAATGTGGAACTACGCAGTCGTATGAAGTCACAGGCTGACAAATAAATAAATATTACACAATTACAGGTAAAAGAACATACTACTCACGAGAAGCATAGTTATAAATGCGACAAAACGCTGTTTGTAAAAACCGTATCTTCACGGAATTAAAAGATTCAGTACAGGATAATGCCTTGAAAATTATTGTTCTCACGGAGAGTTTCAATCCGATTTAGGCGTCCTCGTTGAAGAAAAATGTAATGAAGCGATTTCATTTTACTATTCGGTTTTGGTACATTCACGAGGATTTTGCGGAGTTACGGGCACAGGAATTGTCTCTTCAAGTAAACCTGCTGCACTTTAAACTGGATCAACCGATCCTACCTACTATTGGGAGCTGGACAAGGCGATTTATGCTTTGGCTATGACATATAATATCGGTTATACAACATTAATAAACTTTTCTAAAAGAATAACAGTTCCGTATGAATGGCTGGCTTCGTTACAATGGACAGAATGCGGTGTGAACAGTTGGTATCTCAGGAGCGCCCTTCCTATATTCTTCGGTCATCTGAGGTTTGATCGAGTATCTACCATGGATCATGACCTCTCTATTACTTAAATATAGTCACCCTTTTTATTACACAGATGTGTGTGGTGAACAACAGACGGGGTGACCCCCAGAGTCACGAAGACCTGCTACTCCCTCATGGAAACCGGTAACCTAAGTCTGGAAACTTGGTATGGTGAACCACATAAGGCCCCGCTAGGTCAGACGTGATATAGAACCGGACGACAGAGAAGCTGCCTACCACCAATGTTGGGTGTCGGTGGCGGGGCTAGAACCACAGGGCCCAAAGTATGCCGGTGATAAACGGGCCCCCATGAAAAATGTATTCCCTTTAGACGTAGGTGCGATTTCCAGTTTGGTGTGTAATTTAATTCTACGAAACGCACGATTATTTTTCATCAAGATTTGTATTCAACGACTTATTACACAAGTCTGGCTGAGTAACCGGACGAGCAATGCTGAGATTAGATGTAGAGTTTTAGGTAATCGCGATCGTCCGCTGGAGCATGTAGTTGACCTTCATCGTTTACGCTGGTTGGGATATTTGGTACGCATGTCACCAGATAGGTTACCATGGCGAGTGATCTTTGCCGAGGCAGGTAACGGTTGGAAAAAGATTGAGGACGGTCAAACAAAGACCTGACATGAGAGTAAGAAAACCCTAACCAGGATTCTGGGTCGCCTAGGTCCCGTTAGGCTCCCTGACTGTGGACTCCGAGATCATGTTCACCGATGGTTAGAGACACGGCGTGATATGGCTGGACGCTGCAAACATTGGTAATCATGCATCTGCTCATCAATCTCTTAGCACCATTCTATATGAATTCTCTATCTTCCTGTCGAATTGGCTCTCAACATCCCCATCTTTATTCGGCTCTTTCATTCAAATGAACCAAAAAAAAGACAGCAAACAAAAACTGCTCACGAAAGTGCATGGTTAACGGTTGTAAAAACTGAAACTGATAGTCTGGAATAAGTTCCTTACACCTAACCACGTTCGGCATCCGGAATATATACGTGAAAAGATTCCTGGACTGATTCACTTAACAGATTGTTGCCCCAGTTGTGCTCCGCATTTATTCCTCCGTCAGCACAGACTAAGAGTTTCGTGATTTATTTTCAATTCGGTGCGCTATAATATACAGTAGTATACATTTTTCGAAACTGATAATTCGATGAATCAGTCGATGATGCTGAACTAATCAGGCAGCTTTGTTAAACTAGGGGGTCACATGGGTGTTATCTGTACCAGAGAGGCGATCACTTTTGGCGTATAAACAGCATTGCACAAGTTATCTTTGAAAAAACAGAGAGGCACTGCTGCTCACACATTACCTGGGGTAAGGTGCCACACATTTCAGGCTCCACCACTTGATTGGTTGTGTTGAAACAAAGATGCATTTTTCAGCTCCCCCTAAGGTGACGTATTTGGTACCAAGTGAGGAAATGTCCCCATCTATACCACTCAAGAATCTTTTTCTATCTACGGCTGGCAGTTGTTCTGTTTTACTCACTTGTGACTCGTTTTATTCACATGGTTCTCATCTAGAGTGCCCAGATGGGATGATAAAAGGCAATTTTTGCTCTAATTAAAACGTTTTACTCAACTTACTTGACTTAGACGCAAATAGTTTGCCCATGGACGTTCTTTTATCCGGACTGCTTCCGCATTGTTCCGCCGAAGATGAATCAGACGTTTCGATTCTAACAAACGAAGGAAATCAACCAAACCGGTTGGTGCCCCGGTCAGAATTGTATCCGAGGCATAACCATCCGGTGGGAGAAGCAAAGGCAGTGGCAATTCGCGAGGCTCGGTAAGTTGAATTTCCGGCATCAAAGGACTATCGCGTGCGGTATGCATTAAGTGCTCCATCTCGTCTGCAATTGCACGATCATTGACCTTGATGAGGGTGCATGCATGTGTAAACAAAAGTCAGAAGTTGGAGTTCATACAGATAATAGAAAAACCTACTCCACTGCACTTTTGCCAACTAAGTTTTAGTCAAAATCCGCAATACTTCAGCCTCGACCCGCAATCATTTAGCCAAAATCCGAAAGGATTCATCCAGGACCCGTGGTCCTTTAGTCTCGACGCACAAACTTTTGTCACACCGCTGTAGGTGAATCAGATCAAAAGGTTTCGGCATATTCTAAGGTCAACGAATGGTGAAACATCTTACATATTCTGCAAACGTTAATGTTCCAGAGCTTGGTTAAGAAATAAAAAAGATTTTGGGGTCACACGCTACACCACATGTTGACTGGATAAGGTATAACCGATATGCCTGTATCGTCAAACCATTTGACACATCTTGTACAGCTTTAATATTACCGTGTAACATGCGATACTCCTGTGAGTAAAAATCTCAAGTGTAGCACAAACGCTACATTGTTTTGCATTCACAAGCGAATTCTGTTCATGAGAATTGGATACATAAACATGCTGGAGATAATAAAGTACACCCCCCCCATAACTTTCATCAATTTATTAACGCCGCAACATTTGACATAATTACCGCGGTCGAGGCTCAACGAATTGAGGGGTTTTATCGGTAGCTTGTTAGGAAACGGTATGTTAAAGGGGGTCTTTTGTGAACCGTGTTCATTATCCTCGACCTGTTAATGTATCCACATTTCAAAAGTGGAGTTCACTGTAAGTGGATATGTGGAAAAGTAAGAATTTCCCTTTTTGACTAATTTCAGGGCTTGTGAATGCAAAACAATGTACCGTTTATGTTACACTTGTCAAGGTCGATGATTGTAGATCACTTTATTTCTGAGTAAAAAAAACTGTGAATCAACGTGATAAACGTGAGACGGATTAAATATCACCACCATCGATTGCCTTCGGTTGGCTACTTCACCTTTTCTGAAAATCGATTTTTAACCAATCGTAGAGCACAGAAAATGATAACAATGTGATTTTCATGATCGGGACAGCCTAAATCCCCCACATCCACCCGGAAACAGCACCTACCTCTTTCCCGCCGGTCACAATCAAATCAATCCAGTCGTCCGGGACCGGTGGTGGATCGACCAAATGAGCCATAAGCCATTCGAGTTGCATACTGTTCAGAGAAAGCAGACCCATACAGAACTGATAGAATTCATCCAAATTCGATCGATCTGCCAGAATAAGTTGACAAGCCTGTAGGATAGAATAGAGGAACAGATTTGCCCGTTGCGGATAAGATACAACTAACAGAGGAACAGAATCAAGTTGACCAAAAAAATGTGAATTTCTCTTGTGACCCCGTAAAATTGAAATACGTTTTTTTTATTGTCACAATCCAAACAGCCATTTAGGATGTTGGTTCTAATCATGGATAGCACATAAACAAACAGGCGGAATAGAATGTTTTGGCAAAATATCCATTATCCAACGTTGACATGGGTAGTTCAGTAGTCTCAACAGATTTTCCCTACCGTTAATAATATATATCACCGAATAGGCATGCCCGGCGTCCTGTGTTTGCCAAGACACGTAGTGGATGAAGGAAGGCCGAGTGTGGTTGGAATAAGACCTGGTATAAAACGGATGCCCCGGAGGAGTCGGCCACATAGGTCGCATCCCCGACTAGTCTACTCGGTGATTAGATACACTGAGTGATATACAGGAACGTCGTAAACAGTGGTGCCCGTGCATCTACTCATTTTTTCCGGAAATTTAGTTAAACTGTATTATGTATTTTTAACCTGATACTGCTTCCTGTTTTCCAATTCTTCCCTCTAGTCCCTCATCCAAGTGGGTCGCGAAAAGACAGTAACCAAAATCGTCGCGCAAACGTTAAAGGGTGGAATTGTATGAACTGAAACTAAAGATACAAACAGTCTCTGGATAGAAGCGAATCCTAGAGGAAAAATTGCCCAGTGTTAAGTAGTGGGTGTCATATTAGTCAGTCTCTTCGCGGATAGAACCATAAAGCTGACTTATCTCTGTGCAGGAACAAGTTACTCCCAAGTACGTAAGTTACAGGAATGTGGTATACAGAGAACAAAAAACACGTTCAACTCAGTTTAGAATAGGACGTGACTTCCATTCATGTAAAGTTTTCAACAAAAATATTACACTACACAGATAAACGGATTCGGATAATGAGCAGACGAAGGCACGCAAACCGAACCTGAACGCATCGTTGTAGTCGACATTCGGCAGCACGTTCCAATCCCTGGCGTTGAGCCCACTGTTTAATACGATCTAGTCGCCGTAACAAACGTGTAGCCCCGATCCGGGTCAACCACATGCTCGTATCATCCTGTCTAGCCCCACGCGGTTTGGCTTCCGTATTGATTAGGACCTGATTGAACACATACGCGTTGATCACGTGAAACAACTGGGAGAAAAGTTGAATTGTGAGCGAAGCGTTAACTCGGGTCCGGCGTAGATGATGCATCAATAAGGTGAGCAGTTGCATCAAGGCTTGAAATTTAATCGGATCCCGTCGGTTGGCAAAATAATTTTCTTCCGTGATAGAACGATCATCCAGACGCACATCATCCTGACGACAGAGAGAAAGAGAGAGCGGATATGACCAGAAAGCGATCAGAAGGAAGTCGGTCTGATTACATTCAAAACTCTTATAGGTCATATCGATCTCTCTCAGAATAACTTTAATGTTACAGTTCCATTATGATAGAGATTTTTGTGACACGTACGAATAGTGAAATGCAAACTGCACTTCGGATCTCAGTGACGAAAATTGAATCGGTTTTTAGATCACGATATAATCGAATTCTATATTAGTAAATTGATATCCTAGATCATGCTAAGTTGTTCATCTTCAAGCAAAGACAAAACGTATTCCAATATTTCCGGAACGAACATTTGAAAGACCAAATCACACCCCGATCTGCCCTGTTGCGCTTGACATCAGACAGACAACGGTAAAATAACGCAGAATCATCCATGGGTTCTTTGAATAATTATGACTGCAATGAAAACTTTTACTATCTACTCCGCACAGATATCGTGGAGTTTGAAATTTTCCAATAGCCTATAGTGGNTGGTACATTTTCCCCAGTCATGCTGCCCCAGAGTAGTAACGTGACTCTTTCTTTTGAATTCCTTGAATGCTTAAACTGCTTTTCCGAATGGGCTAATCCAAACATGCATCAGCTAAAAGACTGAGCCTTTCGCACAAGGTGATAACCATGGACCGTGTAGCTCAGGGTTGAGGTCGGGTTTGAGGTCCCGACCCAAAATTTCGCGATTCTAGTCCCGAGAGGGACACAAAAAGTGGTACGCACTGCTGACGAGTCACAAACAGGACGAAACAGTTATCCACTGGTCTTTGTTGGTTATCCCAAAACATTTACATCACAGGTGTATGTTTCGCAAGGGCAAAGATAATGTGCCGCATTGATATGGAGTAATGGAATCGTGATTTTAACTAGGAAAATACAATTTCTGCTCTGATCGAAGCTCGAAAAATCTGACAGGTACTGTTGAATAAATTCTGCCTCAGGAAATTATCA